ATTTTACAAGCCTTTTACGATAGCTGAATGAGTCCTATGTGGTTAAAAAGTCAAGAAATAGTCTGCACGGCAAACTCTGGCCATTGGCCTCAGCAGTGGTTATAAAAAAGCCTTTCTATCTCAGACCATGGGACCATCTGTTTATTTTATCATAAGGAAAATGGTCACAACCACTTCTTGTTTGGAATACATTTGGAGTTACTTGATGTGATGACTCATTGAAANTTGAGCTCTTAATATACATTTAATGTAATGACAGAACTGACAGAGGGAAAATTTTTCTATTCTTTACACAAATTGATCTCAGACTGAGTTATGAGATTAAACTCTCTTTTCCTGTTAACTCTCATATCTAAAATTATAGGCACTTAAACTTGTAGTCGACGTGATGAACAACACATTAGAAAATATTTCTCTGTAGTACATAAGGCAAGTTCAGAGTTTTTCTACTTTTGTGAAAAAAGTGAAGACTCTTATCCCAATGGAAAATATAGTTTTTTTGAGATACATTCTGTAAGTTAAGTTCTAAATTTGAAAATATAACTGTATTGTCCAGATTCAATAAAAAAACAATTTAAATTTTATTTGAATGAATTGGTTGTCAATGCATCACCAAAAATATGTTTTACTCACCCTTTGAAATCAGCTTGTCCGGCATTGGTAACTCGGTAGGATCTGGAGCTGCAATGGAAGGTATGTTGTCATTATTCCATGGATTTCTATCAAGGGGCAGCAGTAGACGAGCTGGAGATATCAGTGAATCAGGATTCCCCAACAATTTTGGATTCTGAAGGATGGGCATTTGTATTGATAAATTCTGCAAAAATAAACCGATAGAATCAGTTGCTGATTTCTGCCTGAAACCATGGATGATTAACTAACTTCATTGACTTTAACTTCAATGACACTATACCATTTCTTTTTCAATTGAAATATTGTTCTTTACATGCATCATAAACTTTGTGAAATGGTTCTCATAATTGAAAAGTCAAACATTATCTTAAGCTTTACCAACATGTAGCATACATTCATACTATTGAAGATGACAATAAGGGAAATGTCATTACTTGAAATTGGATTTTGGTATTAGTTTCTGCTACAAATCATTCCAATAATAACATGGACACTAATCACTGATGGTTATTTGTTATCTGTCAAAATTGACATTGATTTCGTTATTAAGTCAATCAATTTATTCATTATATAAAATATTCTATATAGTAAAGTATTCTATATAGTCTCCAATCTTGTGTAGACATAAAAGTAAATACCTGAATATATTATGTTTTATATAATATATTCATATCTTATATATATTACCAGTAGTATCATACTATTATTCGAACTGTTCAAGTCAAATAATTTGTGAGTATTAATTTCGTACCTAAATAATGTTTTCTTTTGAAAACGTTAGAAATTGTTTTGGAATTTGGCGAAAATACACCTTACCAACAAGTTACAAATATTGGCAATGAGAAATAATCAGAAAAAACCATCAGTTCCATAATGTGGCAATAATGGTGAAGATAAAGCAAAGTGGTTTCTAAAAAAATCCTTTTAGAAGAAAATCATATTCCTAGCAAATGCAATGAAGATGCCCAACTTGACGTTTGTTTGAATATGATTGAAAATGGGGAAAGAAAATGCTGGTTTTGTAATCGAAAGTAGGGTTCAGTATTCATTCAAAACCAAATCAAAGAATGTAAATTTTCACGGCTGGAGTAAACTTCATTATGGATGAAGCCGTTACTACGTGGTAGATCATCACAAAAAATTAAAATAAAAACTTACTATGTTTTTACCACTTTTTTTGTAACTAACGTTACTGCAGTTTCGTCCTATACGGACATTTTTAAATGTCTGCAGTAACGTTAGTTACAAATAAAACTGGTAAAAAATATAAGTTTCAATTCTCACTTTTAATGCGTCAAAACTATTTTCTAGGTTTGTCGGTCGTGTTATGCACATTTTTTATCCTGACGTTTCGTCCACGACTGCGGTGGACATTACTAAATGCGATGATGTAACGGACGCAGTGTTGTCCTTGTTTCTTTGGAGCAAATTCTACAAATGAGTTGTCGAAATTTTTAAGTTAATAAGATTAATTGCGTTTTATCAATGAATGACAGTTAATTACATGTTACTATTGGTCAAATTCAAAGTGAAAATCAATACCAAAGTCCAATTTCTTGTAGATCTGTTGATGAATAAAATTCCCGTATGTTGTCGACTTCAACGATGTCACTGTATACAGGGTGTTCCTTAAACACATGGTGATATTTAAGGAGGTAATTCTTAGACCCATTTTAAGAAAAAAACTTCCTATGGACGTATGTCCTAAACGCCTTAACTTTTGAGATACAGGGTGGCAAAGTTTTCAAAAATAATCAGTTTTTTAATAATAACTGAGATAATTGTGTAGACATCTTTGGCATATTTGGTACATATGTTCCATGCCTCAAGGCGCATTTTCTGATGTACACAAATTTGTATTTTTTCAAACAGTGGTTGTTTCTCAATCGTTCTAGGTGTCGCGTTCAAGAAGATTCCTATAGGCTTCTAGAGACTTCCATAGGAATATAAAAACACTACCAACAGGCAGATGGGGCAAGTCTAATTGAAAGTACTGTACATAGCGATATAATAAGGCGATAGACATTCGGGTATTAATCCAAAGTTCATTTAAAGCTTTTGCGTTATATTGGCAGTGCAGTAGTGAAATAAACTTGAGTTAAATTGTACAGCGATGTCAATTATTACCGAATCCAAAGGAAAAAATAAGTATATTTAATATTTTTCATTATTACATACTCATTTAGTAAACTACACCTTACGATTTGATCTTCACAAACTTCATTTAAAAAAACAACACATGTTTCACTAACCCAGTAGCTTTTTCATAATGAATAATATACGTTGTTCACTACGAAAAAGCTGCTGTGTTTGTGAAACATGTCGTGATATATATAATTTTTTAATAGTTTGTGGAGACCAAATCGTAAGGTGTAGTTTATGAAATTACTATGGACCTTCATCAAGTAATGGCCGAATTAATCGTAAAAAAATACTCATTTGCTTTTCACATATAGCCAGGAGAATAGTTGTTTTCTGATAGGTGTCAGTCCATTAACCTAATTGTTCCTTCAGATGACTTGATTTATAGTCAGTCTTCAAGTATGCCCACTGACTATATTTGAAGTTTTCTTTCCTTATACGAGGAATTGAGCAAATTTCGGACATGCGGTTGGTTACCTCGTTCATAGGCAGATGGGGCGATGACAAAACTGTTGTTTGTTATCTGCTTCAGCCTAGTTCGAGGAATGATACTCTGAAGAAATTCGATTTTCAATTTTCAGAAATCATCGACTTTATGTCGATGATAGACACTACCTTGCACTGACAAGTGGCCAAACAGCCCGAAACCGGTCTGCAAGTGTGTTCCAATAATTGAAAATATATTGCGGCAGTTTTATCGCTAACAGCATATGCAGGAATAAGTTCAGTGAAGAATATTGCACTGACAATTGTCGGATATAATCCAACGCCCTTCGTGGTATTAGCCAGGAGAATAGTTGTTTTCTGATAGGTGTCAGTCTATTAACCTACAGTGTAGGGAGTTAGGACTGGCCTGAACGAATTGTTCCTTTAGATGATTTGATACTCATTTGCAACAAATTTGTGTTATATATCATGTAAAGTGACGTACCCAGGACCTTGAGGGAAGGTGACTCATAAACAGTTTTGAAGTAGTCGGCAGAATAATCAAAGCTGAATTTTTCAATTATAATAGCTGAGTAACAAGCAACATAATAATTTTGATTCTAGAAGATGAATTTTAAAAAGATTTTTTTAAAGAACTGCCTTCTAGAGGGAGCAACAGTCACTAGTAACTCAAAAATGATCAGTTGGAATTGAAATAAATTGAAAACAAAGAAAAATAGTTTGATCAAATCACAACATTATAAATTCGTATTTAGGTAATAGTTTGTGATATTTTTACTGCATTTTACAAAACCGCAACACATGTTTCAAAGTTATTTTTGTACTGTTTGATTAAATTCAATTCTTCATTGACTAGTTGGGTAGAAATTGTACATATGGCAATTCATAATTTTTACAGTAAGCAATACACCCACAATATATCATATACATCATATTATTTACAGTTAGCAATAGAATAAATATGTCTAGTAAGAGATTTAATTTTTAATGTGACTCGTTTTTTCTGGCGTAGTTCACACATTTATATATGTATATGCAGGGAGCTGACAGATGCATTTCTCTAATGAATACTGGCCTACAACTCTCTAAATTCTAAATAGTTCATGTCAAATGTCAGTTTCACTAGTCGTTTCTGTAATGCAAAGATCTTGGTGAAGTTTTTTGCACTTCCCAAAGACATTATATTGTAAGAAATGTGTGAATACGCCTTTGCATAGTAGACACTCATGAGACTTGACCTGCTTATACGTTGCTTCATCTGTTTTATTGCGAAATATGCTTTGTTTAATTTACAACATACACTATCCAATATGTAAATCCCAAGTCAGTTGTTTATCCAAAATTGTACTCAAAAATTTAGCAACAGTTACAAAATCAATATCATATGCATATGTGATCTGAAATATCGCTCCTTCTGTTATAGAATCTCATAGAAACATATTTGGTAGTGTTTAAGATGAGGTGGTTAAGTTGACACGGTTAAGGTGGTTAAGTTTAGTATATAAAGAAAACATCCAGTATTGCCGAAAAACAATTCGTGGCTTTCGCATTACAATAATACATCTGCCGACTCTTCATTGCTTGGTGGTATTTTTTTAATAAAAACTACACCGTAATCATGTCTCAGCCACCGTGTTTACCAGATTTGCCCCCCTGCGACCTTTTCTCACTAACCGTATTTTTTGAACATACCTCGTAATTATAAAATGTATTTTATCAAAAAAAAATAAGTCATTCATTTTGGTGAAAATAGTTTTACCAAAAAAAAAAAAACTCACCGGTGTTGGCGGTGTATCAGGCTTGGGTGGAGATACTTTTTTGATTGTGTTTTGTACCATTTCTGTTGGCTGTGGAGGTGGCCAATTGGAAAGTTCCCGGTTACCGCCCATAAATAACTGACTAGATTTGTACATGGAAGTAGGTAAAGGCACTAAATGCTCTGAAAAAATTAAAAATCATTTTTGAACACAGTTCAGAGAGTATAAAAATTGCTTTCTCAAACAATTTTTGGCTAAATTATAGCAAAAACAGTGTTCAACTAATCTATTTTAAATATGTGGTAACATAAAATGGCCGTGTTGGTTGGTGGTTCAAGTCCTAGTCTGAACGATCGATTTTCACTCGCTATCGTCCAACCCGTGTTAGGAATCACACGTTAAAAGGTGAAACTTCGTTAATCCTTGGTTTGCACAAGTTTCGACTTCTGAGGGTTGTCGTTCGTAGGGGTGCGAAAGCTGGTTAACGGAAAAACAGATTTTTAAACAGATAAAATAGTTCTAGTTAAGTTCCTTGTATTTAGAAATAACAGATAATTAATTATTTTTAAACATCTGAAGATTGAAATAATAAATGATCTTCGCTATGAAAACCCCTGAGCTTTGATAAAATCAAAATCACAATAATAATAATAATAATAATGGCCTGGATCGATTACCGTAAGGCATTTGATACAATTTCGCATGAGCTCATCTTGCATTTGCTCAGATGCCTTGCAGTATACGACAAAATAGTGAGATGCATTGAACAACTGATACCACTTTGGCGAACTCGCTTCACCATAACATTTGGTCAAGCAAGAGTCGAAACAGGGTGGGTACTCTCTTCAAGAATTTTTAAATTGTTGATGTTCATTGTATATTTTGATATTTTACTTATCAAAAATGTATATGTATAATCTTGTAAATTTTAATCACTTTTAAGCTCTCTTTGTGACTAGTCCAATAAGTTTCATGTATTTACACTTTGTTTATGTTGTACATGTGAACTTTAGTGATGAATAAACTTCTATTCTATTCTATTGAAACCTGTCTGTGGAAACAAATGTTTTTCTTTGTTTCGTCTTATGAGAATCATGATTTTTCTACCTCATCAGTTTATCGTTTTACAGCCTGTTAATGAGGAAATAGATAATTTTTAAATTCTCTAGTAAGCTTATAAGAGGAAATTAAAATAAATAAATAAGAAATGAATCAATTTGCTGGGTCTACAATGTTTTTGACAAATTATCTACTTTGTTCAAGGATCCATTTTTTAATGGGTTTCTTCATCAAACCAATATTATTAAGTGTTTTAACTGAGACAGGAACATGATTTAGAAGTTTAGCTCTTGGTATGTACACTGCTGCAAAGTTTTGAGCTCGTGTCATTCGATTGTGAGGAAGTTTTTCAAGTAATTTCTATTTTTCAGGAGAAATGTGATAATCGTTTTAGAAAACAGTTGCCTTAAATCTAAAATTTTTAATACCCCATAGAGCTGTTCTGTTGGATAACGAGAGCTTTTGTTATATACAATTTTCAAAATACACTTCTGCATTTTTTCTAGTGGATCGAGTGCAGTAGCATTTATACCACCCCAACCAATTATACCGTATTGTAGAAGAGATTCTACAAATGCGTTGTATAATATTTTCAATTCATTAAGGGTTAGTATGTCAAGGTGCTGGCGAAACCAAAGATGATTGATTATTCAATATAAACTCTGTACTGAACTGACGTCACTTTACAGAAACCAACATTGTAAACTGATTTCCACCAGTTCAACGCAATAGTTCTAAAATATAAGTTATAATTTATCAGGCACTTAAAATAAAATACATACCTGCTAAATTTCGATTCAGCATCACGATACTCTTCTTTTTACTACCTCTTATGAAAAACAACAGACTGAAATAGTTGTAAAACTCATCAACAGAATATATTTGATAGTTTGACAATTTCAGTGCGTTTCCATAAAAATCGTAATATAATTTATCCAAGTTAAAGTAGGGAACGCTACCACCACTATTATAAATAACATGATAAAGTTGAGCTGCTAAAACAAAGAGAGGTGTCAGAGATATGTAACTAGTGTCATTCGACGATGATATCTGTAAGAAAAAAAATCCGACATGAGAAACGGTGTGCTATAAACGATTCAGAATATACCGTACCGAAATAACACTTTCAATCTGCTGCAAGCTATCCACAGTGAAACTGCTGTTATATCTAGACTGATATTCGTAGCAGAAAGTATTGAAATCCATATAATGAGGAGGTTTCAGTAACAAAGCCCAGCTCCTCACTTTCAGAGTGTTGGGTGTTGTGTCCACATCAATTGCAACAAGTAACAATCCTGCATTACTGTTTTCAACCTAAAAACATCAAGCAATCGAATACATTCGAAAATAAGTTGGGATAATAATCCAGAAAATGAATTACAAATCTTATTTTTGAAAAAATTATGAACTACCAAACTGATCCTCAAATATTTATTTTGAAAATAAAATAGCGAAAACAAAAACCAAAACCAAAATGATGTGGCAGACAATTAAAGAAGAAATGGGTACACTGCAATGTAATCAAATAGATACTGAAAATCCGGGAGAAATGGCTAATAATTTTAACAACCATTTTGCAAATTCAGCTCTCAAAATTTTGTCAAAACAAAATAATATCGGTAAAGTGAGCGGTTTTGAGAAGTCGATAGCCTCCAATAGTCACACCTTGTTTTTGAGTCCAGTCACAGAAAATGATTTAATAGCAATTGTAAAAAATATG